GAACCATTTCTTCATTTGTACTGTTTTTTTTCTTTTTGTATTTAGTTTGTATTTAGTTTTTTAGATTATTTGAACCATTTGTTCATTCACACTCTGTATATTGTATTGTTAGTATTTATATTGGACAGTTGTCACTACTCGTTATATTGTTTTTCATGTTTAAATGATAATATAAATTTATGAAGAGAAATGTTTGCTTCAGTTTTCTGTTGTAACATAAAAACTTTTCTATTTACTTTACTCCCTCAACTTATTTGGACATATCTACATTGTTAGTAAATGTAATACACTTGTCTTTACTCAAAAACGCCTACAATAATATTATAATAAATAGCTATAACTTGCTGAGGGATTGTTACATGTAGATAACATTTCTGGAAGTAATATCTGGATGTCTAAAACAACCAAGCCTAACTCTCTAAAGAAAAAAAAAAGAAAACTTCAGGAAGTTCTGTTTGAGTTCACACTGAAAACACAACATTTTTTTGCTATAAATTATCTGAAAAAAATAAATGTAAAACTGGGAGTTTAAATGTGCTAGATGGAAACTTTAGGTTCTCCTGTTTAAAATAATATATGACACTTGATACTTGCTGCTAGAATGGGTTAGAAAAACAGAAAAGTACAGATGAGTTAGGTGCCCTGAACATGTTCTAGGTCTTTAAGGGTTAAACTGATTCACTATAGTATGCCCATTAGCAATACAGTATATATATATATATATATATATATATATATATATTAAACTACAGCTCAACTAATGCAATCCTTATGAATGCGTTTAAACAACAAAACACATCCACTTACACATATTTGACAATCGGAATATCAGTGTTTCACGCTATAGCTAATACATTTGTGAATATTTTTGCTAAAAAAGGAAAAATAACATAAAAGCAGATCATCATTCATTCAGCGCTGTGTTGTGGTTGTGCTCTGTCCCATGACAAGCAATGACATGTCAACATGGAAACATTAAAGCAGCACTATGCAGTTTTTTTTTTTTTTTTTTTTTTTTTTTTTTTTTTACCTTAACTGAATAGCTTCGGAGTTGTTGCAATGTTATTGCATCTCGCCAGTATATTTTAAACTTAAAAGTGGAAGATTATGCGTAGCTTTGTTGCATTATATTGAAACTTTGTTGATGTTGTTATTGTCATTAGAGGTATTCACAATTCACCCGAGACCAGTCGACCCGGGACCTGACCCGGGACCCATACGGGTTTGGGTCTATATCTTAAATGATCAGCCGGGTCAGGATCGGGTCGGAATCTATTACTTCGGGTCCCGGGTCGGTTTAACATTGTGTGTAATACCCGTGCGATCGGAGTGCAAAGTGCAATCTCAAGCGTGTGTCATGTTTCTATGGCAACCAGAGCTTCCGCCAAACCGTGCTTTACATTGTCTCCCATTTTTATAATAATATAAATGAACCATCTTGTTTAATCTTAAAGTTTTGGTGGTCAGATTCAGACTCAATGAAGAGCAGAGAGCAAGCTGAACAAGCAACAAGCAATCGTTATTATAGTTCAAAAGTGCAAACAGTTAAAGTTATTATGCGAGTTAACTCAAGTCAGACTGTACATGTGCAAGGTTGCATTTGTCATCCATCACCGTGACATCAAGTGGACTTTTAAAGCTGAAATAATGAGTGGATTAAGCTTGGAAAAACGAGAGAAATAACATGGATAGAACTTTCTTGTCGGTGGATTGTAATGCATCACAGTCAGTCAGGTAACGTTACAAGGAAGTGAGATGACGACTACTAAAATTAGTTAAGACAAAAAGTTTTATTTTTCGCAACTCGTGTGAAATTATATGTGACAATCGGGTCCAGTCGGGTTTGTGTCTTCCTGCCGGGTTCGGGTCCAGTTTTCAAATAATAGACGGGTCCAGGTTGGGTCCGGGCAGTACATTTATGACATTTCTCGGGTCTGCACGAGTCCGGGTCCAACTTTTGAAATGAACTACGGGTCCGGGTCGGTTCAGTGTAGCACATTACGGGTCTCTTTCGGTTCCGGCATGAATTTTTGGACCCCTGGAGACCTCTAATTGTCATGCGTGTTCTGGTTATTTGAGCATGATAAAAAAAAGTCTATATACAGTATGGTGATAAAACAAAGCTTTATTGCATTTTTTTAAGTAGGGATTGGGGGTGTGCCAATTAAAAAATGTTGGTGGTTAAAATAAAAATTCTTATTATTTAAATAATTTACAATTATTATAGCCCTAGGAAATACATTTTATGTTTACATTTTATGTTTTCTCAAATTACATTTAATTTTTACAAAATTCTGTTTTCCCATTTACATTTTTTGGGATTCCATTTTAATGATTTAATTATGTCTCTGCATCACTTAACGCCGGTTTCACACCGCACGCAGCAGCAGCGTGTGAGCAGTGCGTATTTTTTTCGGCGTGCTTGTTAATCAATGAGTGTGTTCGGCGGAGAGTCTATTTTTGCTGTGCTGCTGACGTAGCCTGGCATGCCAGACCTACATCAAAATGTTTGGTCTGGGAACTCATCATTGACGGGGCTCAAGCCGAGGGGCGGGATAAACGGTTGTCTTTCAAATTCTCTCTGCACTCAATTGGATAGCGCTACAACCAATCAGAGCAACGAAGAAGGTGACGTAGTCAGCAGAGCAAGTTGATATATTAAACTTTTACCGTATCCAGTCCATAGCTGTCAATATTGAACATTGAAAATAAGGGAGATTTCCAGAATCCATCCCCAAAATAAGGGATTTTTTTGTTTTTTACACGACCCACAAACTTTAAAAAATAAAACACTAATCATTAAAAGTCTAAAGAGTTTATAACTAGCCTACATATGTGTGAGAGAGAAAGAGACAGTGTGTGTGTGTGTGTACTGTATGAGAGAGAAAGAGACAGTGTGTCATTAAAAAAATAATATCATTGAGAATCTTTAAATACTAATATCAGTTTACAAGGGAAACAGAGGCGCAGTAGTGGTGCTTCGGAGGCTGAGTGCTGGAGATGATTCGGACGTCCATTACCGATCAGAGCGCGCACTGACACTGAGTAAATAAAGCCTTTATACTCGACGCGTCCGCACGAGCAATGACAAGTGACACGTTTCGCCACAGCTTTTTTGTAACAGCATGCGCGGCTCCGCATCCAAGGATGAACGACTTCAAACCAAATATGTCCGAGCTTGCTCTGACTGTCACAACTCTGTCGTCATTATGTTAAGCTCGCCCGCCGACTATACACGATGTGATTGGCCTGACCTGAGTTGGGTTTTACCAGCTAAAACGTCTATTGAGAGTTGCTAGACCACACTGGCAACGAAATGATTTTTGCTGCCGCTAGAGTGCGTCTAGATTTCTAGGCTACTGCAGACGCTCAATTAAAATGAAAGCACACTTTTGATGAACAAAATGAAAAAATATTTCACACAAAAAGTGCTAAAAATGCACAGAATAAGTGGGGTGTGTTTTAAGAACTGGACTATGTCAAAAAAGAAATCGAAATCATTCCATTTGGCGACAAGGACAATACAAGGACATAATTCTAAGGAAAAAGCGTGGAATGAAATTGCTTCTGCTATATATGCAGATGGTAATTCAACTATTTTATTACAAATATTCTGCAAGTTAAATACAGGCATATAATTAATAAAAACTGAAAAGTTGTCTGAGAACCCAATGTTTAAAGAACATTGTTTAAATTGTTCATCTGTTGGTTTGGAGCTGCTGCAGTGACGCTGCACACACGTTTCCAGTGTGAATACTCTTGCGCATACTGCAGCTGCAGTGATGATGTAGTTGACCTGTTGTAGTTGCTTGCGGTGTGAAACCGGTGTAAGGCCGTAAAGCTATATCTCCGCAACGTTTTAGCGTATTCAGACCAAACTTGCTACATGTAATTACAAGCATGACCTGAGGTTACTTGCATTGATCCGGCACAGTGCTACTACTGGTCAGGAGATAAATAGCTCTTTTTTTGCTGAAAACTTCTGGGTGGTTTGCCCAAAAATCATAAACTGGTCTCTTATAATTCAGTGCAGCATACTTAGTCGAACGATACTACATTTTTCCATATTGGCTATTTTGGGCATCAATTCTGTCATAAAATGCTATATTTTATGAATGCATTAACGCATCGCTACGAAAATCGGTATGGATCATCAGGATGCCCTATTCAAAAACGCTATAATGAAGAAAAAAAGATCCTAATAGCTTTTGATTCATACACCTGTGTGGTGTATATTTTCACAACACTGTCATAAAAAAAAACCTCGCTTGCGGCACCTTCCTCCCACTTTCTACCGCTGCTTATGTGCATTTGTTATTATCAGAGTCAGCCGACTTTATCGCATGGAGCCATGTCTACCGAGTGGGTAATACATCATACGCTGGTCCTGATTCATAGAATTAAGTCGAATTGCCACAAAGCACTTTGTGTTTCTCGCTCATTCTCGCTTCTCACAAGACTTTTATTTCCAAGTTACCGGGCCGGTTACTTGAGTGGGGAAAGTCACTTTTCTTTCCAGAACAGGTTATTAAACCATTCAAATGATTTCTAAACGGTTTTATTAAGTTGAAATAGTTGCCAAGTCCCCCTTTGAGGCTTTAACTCTACAACGCTTTGGCATATTGACATCAAACTCATCAAACTGTCATTGTCTCCACACATTGCCCACACAACATCGATTTGGTAACAGCCAACCAATTGGTCAAATGACGTAAGCAATTAAATCATTAATTACATGTAACTGAATTTATAATCTAGGATCAAGACTTGGGTTTGACAACTGTCAGACATCAGGGCACATTCAGAAGGTTGAGGGCCCTGCGTCACAATCAGCAATGTTACATTCAAGCTATCAAACACACAACATATCAAACTCGTATGTGTCTGAACTTTTAGGGCACTGCTGGTTTTTAGTTTTCTGTGATGTTTGAGTCAAACAGTAAGGAGAAAGAGAGCAAAGAAGACGACAGTATAAATAGGAAGTTAAAGGTGGGACTTACACTCAGCATTGGTGAGCAGGACGGAGGCGGTGAGCAGCAGGAGACAGTGTCGGACGGAGGGTAACGCTACAAGGATGCTAGGCACAGGCATGATGTTACAACTCACCCGCTGAGTGTGCCAGCTCACAACGCTCCTGCAATGCTCTCACAACCTACAGACAGAGAAACAAGAAATTAATAAATTAAAAGATATTTTCTATTTCATGACTGTGAAAAAAAACCATATGAAAACTGTTTTATTTTAAAGCAAGAGACTACAAGCAAAACCATTGTTGTTTTTTTCCCCCATTTGTCTTGAGTTCTTGATCACTGATCTATATAGAATGACTGGATAGCTTATGACGTCATAAACAGTGAAGCCACCATGCCGTCATATTGTGATTCTCTAGTGAGCTCAAGCCGTTCTATTGAATCAATAGGAAATTGTGATTTGATTAAGAAAACTTTGCATAACGAGACACCGTCTTTAAATCTAAAGTCTCCCTGAATAGTCTTACAATGCAAACATCCTAACTATTTAAATGGGTATTTGTTTAAAGTCGGAAATCATTCCTGCTTACTAAAAGTTAAGTATATGTGAATTGTGAACTTAAAAATTAGCTCTTTCTGATTGTGTTTTACAGATAGATCAGTAGTCTGTTCAAGTATTTGATTATTCAGCAAGAACATGTCCAGGAAATGCATAATACAAATTGTATGGGTTAAGGTACACCTGTTTCACCTCTTATTTACCCCTTATTTACACTGCATGCGTCTGCAGCGCGTTACAGCTGTAACACGGCTACCGGAGCTGATCGCGCCCACAAATCGGCAAATCACGTGGAAATGCTCCTGGTGTGAGTTGACACCGAGTGAAGCGATTGGAATAAAACATTGTCGGAGCCGTAATACGCCGCAAATGTGTGCAGTGTAAATAAGGGTTTTACACATGGGCCTACTCCATTTGCAGTGCATATTTTTTTACCATTCCTATGTCAACAGGTTGGAGCTTTCATGCATCGTCCAAGTGCGGTGCATGCAGAGATCGTTTGTTTTGTGCAGGTGCTGAATTAAAGTGACAGTGCATGGTTCGTGGTCAAACTGAACACAGATTGACATGAAAATATTACATAAATGCATTTAATTATTTTTTTTTTAATTCATTTAATTCAAGAAGAAGTAATTCATTTAATAATACGTTTATTGAGTTTAAACATGAATACGTCTGTGAAAGAATGCATAGTAGGGTATACATTTTTTTTAAACAACACGGAAATAGAGACAATTGTGCCTATAAATTATTATATATGGGAGCAGTTTTTCAAGATCCTTTTGTGATCTTCGTTTTACACTTGTTGATGCACAGCGTGTCATCTTAAAAGTGCCGTCGGAGCTACCTATCTTTGTATAACCGCCGTTGGAGCCTTCTGCTGGTAGGGTGTCGTAAGATGGACGCTCGAACACTTCCGGTGGCTTCACTGCCTGGTGGCAGTTTAGAACGTCATGGGCTATCCAGTCATTATATAGATCAGTGGCCTTGATGATGAACTGAAAACATGTAAATCCATACAGTAGGTAGCTTTAAGAAATTATATTTAAAAAAAGATTACATTATACAAAACTGAATGAATTTAGCTTATTTTTCTTTTAGTCATTATTTATGTATGCAAGATGTCTTTAGTGTTTTGTGTTGTGTATTAAAATGCAAAAAAGGATTGGCGCAATAAGCATAAGCTTCAGCCGACACCTTTTCGGTCAAGCAACTTTTTTAAATATTAGCTACATTAACTTTTGTTAACTATTGTTTACATTATAATTACATTTGTGTTTCCATGTTTGTTTGTAAATTGTTTTTCTTTTTTCCCTGTTCTTTTAAAGAAAAATTTTTTCTTTGCTTCCATAAAATGTTCTCTTTCAGACAAGTGGGGTGGAAAAACCCAATTCAAATGACATTAAGTATCAATTACACAATCTATTTGCATACACATCAATACTCAAAATTTGTTTCATCTCCAATTCAGTAGCACTTAGATACACCAAACTCTTCAGTTTTATTCCCATCTATATTATAAAGGATTTTACAGAGAGGTTTTTTGATATAACTTTTAGCATGGTTTTTAGGGCTGGGTAATAAATATCGATTTCTCGATATTAATCGATTCTCACTTTTACAAACCGATATCGACTCTTAAATCTCAAGAATCGATTAGTCATCCTGTTTCATTTGAATGAATGGGACATTGTATCGTGGCTGCGCACATCCAAAAAATCGCAATAATCTTTGTTCTTTGTTACTATTGATGTGAAACAAAGTCTCAATTTTCAAATTACGTCCATTTTCTTTAGAAATTCAAAAACATAAATTACGTTTTGGCGCTGTGGCGTGAGATCGCTCTGGAGAAGCAGCAGCGCTGATCTCTCTTCCGGCTTAATAATACCAGACACAGCGCCAAATAAACATGAATGAGCATCTAAAAAAGTGTGTTAAAGATAGAGTACAACTTATCGAAATCCGTATCATGTCACATTGATTCGCTCAATCAGCATTTCAACCGTGGAAAGACGTCAGTTAAACAGTTTGTAATCAATGTCATGTATCGTCATATTTACCTCAGAAAACCCACATAAACTCGTTAGTCAGCTAGAAAAAAAAACGCTAGAGGAGCATTTTGCTAAATATATACACCATATTACATTTATATTATAATCTTAATGTTCTTCAATATTTAATGTATATTTGAATACATCTGGCAAGTTTTTATGACAGCCACCATTTAAATGTTTATATTTTATATAATCTTCTTATTATAAAATAAATAAAAGTGTAATTTAAGTGTTTTTATAGCTACAAAACAGTTCATTATTACCTTCATATTAGGCTAATGAAGTCTATAGGCTACAACTACAGTAGACTCCCATAGTTTACAGCATTAGTTAAGAGATTTGATTCCCTTGAGAAAAATGGCCATTTATTGTAACTGATATCCAAAATAATCAATATTGAATCGAATCGAATCGTAATCGAAATCGAATCGAATTGCAAGCTTGTGAATCGGAATCGAATCGAATTGTGAAATTTTTCTCAATACCCAGCCCTAATGGTTTTACTTTGTATTCTTAAACATACGGTGAAAAAAATTGTTGGTTGAAAACACTGAAAAATATTTTTGTTTCCCGTTTTTGGTTCGTTGCTTTCATATAACATTCGAACCACACCACAGTTTGTTTGGAAGGGGAACAAGACCCATCTTTTCAGCGGTCTCGGTCTCCTTGTTTGGTGCGCACAGTGTTCGGCTGACTTGTTCAATAACAATTTTTCAAATAAACGTACTAACAGAGCCATCGTAACATGGTTTGTTTTAATCAAACCAAACATGCCAATTGTGAACACACTCTTATTTATGGAGTGATAAAATGAGATATCCTAAATCTCCTCAGTAAAAAAAAAATTTAACTTTTATATGCTACACTCCCCTTGTGGAGAAAATTAAGCTTTTAAATGTTGTTCATAAGTCTATGTGGTGTTTTTAATATGCTTTAAAACAAACCATGTGCCAATTCATGTCAACACCATTGCTGGGTATTTTCTCCTTAACTGCTGTGAATCAAAGACATTCTCAAAAACACAGTTTGAAATACATTATTGTTTCTGACATTACAAATTACCTTGTAACCAATCACGTCAATTTTTGTGATCCTCGACTTGGTTCTCAAAGGTGAGTTTTAAGGCATAAAATTATTGACTGCAGGGGGACTTTGACAAAATGAAACAACAATTTTGACCCTGGCTTTATCCAGTGTTCATATTTACTGTATGTTCTGAAAATGTAAGCTAATAAGTGTATATTTAATTAGATAATGCTTATATTGCATGTTTTTTACATAACATTTCAGGAGACTTGTAAAACAAAACATTACAAATTACACATGTTTGTAAACATTACAAGTTACAAATGTATCCTATTCCCCTAATGATTTGCTTTAACAAGCTTTTGCCTTGGAAATCAGAGTGTAGAGTTGTTAAACACACACACACACACACACACGCACACACGCACACACACACACGCATACACACACACACATCCTGTTGGTGAAGCTCACCACAAACTCACAATTCAAAGGAGTGAGTTTACAAGCTACAAACAACTAAAGTCTCACACCTTATAGGTCCTTAGTTTGTTATGAACACTGTTTGTATAATTGAAGAGATGTGAATGCAAATGTAATCCAAAGTAAAACACACTCATTTTATAAATGATTTATACACAGAGTTGCCATTCAGCAGCAAAGCCTCTTCACCAACACAGGCGACGCAGGCTGGACTTCTGTTCCCACCACACGAGCTCACACGCGGAAGTCAGAGTTGGCACGCACTCGCCGCCTGCTGACCAATGTCACACGCACTGCCACGCTTGCTATTTCCGTTCACGATACCATCATTGGCTCTGGCTGTTACTTTATGAGCTCATTTCGACTCCGAGCGCAAGTATTCATGTATGTGAGATGACGGTCTGTGTGATATTTGTGTGACTAATTAATAGTTCAGATATCAGCTGCTCCCGTCTCTTGTATTGTGGCACTTTTATTCAAAGCTTTTGTTGGGAGAGTGAGACAGACAGTGAGACAGACACATCCATTATGTGTGTTTTGTATCTGTTCCTGATGAGCCGATTCTTTGTTGAATAAGAATTTCCATCACGCTCACACACAGAGCAAACACTCTCTCTAGAAATCTGACAGATACGTAATACCGCACATCGCCCACGTTGGCAGGCGATTTGTAAATAAACGAGAAAATGGCTGTGTTTTTTTTTTCTCTTCTTGTTACTCATCTGTCTGACATTGATCCAGCGAGAGAGAGAGAGAGAGAGAGAGAGAGAGAGAGAGAAATAGACTCGATTGAAAATCACATCAATTCATTCATGAGGGATTGTCTTTAGTGAATGGCTCTGGATCTCCTGATGGACAGAATGAACTTCAGGGTCGTTATTCAAGCCATTCTGCCATGGATAGCATTATTGTTCCTTATTAACATATATGCAAATAATGCCTCTAACGGTCCAAACATGCAACTATGTTTTTTTTTTGTTTGTTTGTTTTTTACCAAAATAATACCAACACTGGGATGATTATTACAGTTCTGTGTGATCAGCATGTTGTAGCAAAAATC